CATGGTGTGTCAGAAAAGCACTGGACTAGGAGCAAATAGTCATGAGCTCAAATCCAAGCTGTGTGACCTTGGGCACATTAATTAACCTCTCTGAGCCAGTTTCCAAATCTTCACAATGAAGGGAATGATATTCACCTGACAGTATTTCTGTAAAATTAAATAAGTGTAAGTGGAATATAAAGCTAGAAGTGTTATCTTTGTCACAACCATTCTATGAAGTTAAACACTGTTGTTGCCTATAATAAACAGATCGGAAAAATAGGACTGGAAGAATTTAAAGTTACTTAGCTTGCAAATGGCAGAGCAGTGATCTGAACTCAAATCTTTTAACTAGGAAATAAGAATCAGAATTATGTTGTTTGCTGTGTCCCTTACACAGAAATATAAGTGTATGAGGTCCTCCATATACTGCTCTCTGACACAGTGAAGAGAGGACTGTTAGAATAAATTAAACAGTGCATCTGACAGTTTCAGGATATATAAACAAGAAGCCACTGATGGAAGTTAAAGATTAAGAACTTAAGGTTCTACCTTGTGACAGCTATTCACGTGCATTTACCAAGATGTGAAATATGACTTCATTGGGCCCTTCAGGAACATGATTTTGCAGTTAACCAGAAATCTCCTTCAGAGCCAGTGAGACTTGAATGACATTTATATGGCCAAATATGTGCTCCCATTTGTCCTAGGACTGTTGGGAAACAGAAATGGAGTGGAAATTAAGCTTCCCCTATAAAAGATGAAAATTAAAGTCCTATGACCTTTAATTCAGGAGGTCCACTATCAGGTCAAAGAATCTCCATGGTGTGTCAGAAAAGCACTGGACTAGGAGCAAATAGTCATGAGCTCAAATCCAAGCTGTGTGACCTTGGGCACATTAATTAACCTCTCTGAGCCAGTTTCCAAATCTTCACAATGAAGGGAATGATATTCACCTGACAGTATTTCTGTAAAATTAAATAAGTGTAAGTGGAATATAAAGCTAGATCCTTCCAACATTTATGTTTATAAAAATCCAGTATTCTTATACGTTGGCACCTAACATGAATTGATAATGTATTTCCAAAGACATTGCTGGTACCTTATTGAAATTCTCCCATTCAGTGGAAAGGAGTTAAGAGACTAAAACGCTTGAGGCTCCCAGTACTAAACCAGAACTCAGGTCTCAGATCTCTGGAATCTGGACTGGAAACCCTCCAAACCATCTCCATCGTGCTAATGGAGGCACGTTTTCTCAACTTTTTGACTTCTCTCCATTCTCAGTTTAAAGGTGACCACATTCTACATAAAACCTGTAACAGCCCACTGTTCTCCCTGCTTCCTTTTAGCCTTCTTCTCCTGTCCCTAAGAAGATAACTATTTAATTTCCTCAAATACAGGCAGACATGGGATCCTGTATCTGAGACTTAAGAGCTATTACCCAGAGGAGAGATCCAAATCATCTGGGGTGGTCCCCAAAGCCGGAGCTAGGAATGAGGGGTGGACCTAGAGGAAGGTCCCAGCTCTGCATAAGGCATGTGTTTGTAACAGCGGCTGCTGGCCAGCTACGGGGTGAGCTTCTGCAGTGGCAAGCTTACCACCAAGACAGCTCCCACCAAGACAGCTCGCACCAAAACAGCTCCCATCAAAACAGCTCCCATCAAAACAGCTCGTGTGCTCATGCAAAACATTTCACCACTGCTGCCCTGATTAGCCCTACCATCAAATTATTTTATTTAACAATCACTGAATGCTTTCCTTGTCCTAGGCACCAGGAATGAAAGCATGAGTAAGACTAAGTTCTCAGCTCTCAAGTGGCACACTGGGGAGGGACAGACACAAGGGCAGGTAACTACAAAACAATGCGCTAAGTACAAAACCAGACAAACCCTAGGAGTGCTAAGAGGTGGACCTAACTTGGGTGGGCAGTTCTTTCTGGAAGAGATGAAGCCTCAGCAGTGGAGGAATAGGGGAAAAGGGAGGGGGAGGATGGGAGCAGTGTAGAAAGAAGTCAGCATGAGCATGTCATGTCAGCACAAGACATGACAAACAGTATGGTTTATGAGAGGTACTCTGGGCAGCTGGATAATGTTAGAACATAACATGTGCTGGGGAGGAGGAGTGAAAAACAAGCCTGGAGCTGAGGCCAGGATATAGACGGTCTTGTAAACTTCATTTTGCAGGATGGACTTTGTGCTGCAGGTGTTGGGAAGCCAACACCTTAAAGGTTTTAAGCACAAGAGTGACTAATTTCTGTGATCTTTGATTTAGGAATTTTTTTCAGAGGAAAACTGCAGGCAGCTGTGAAAGCTGCTGACTAGGGCTTTGGGACCCCAGGGCCAGTGCAGCCCTGCCTGGCTCATTACCAGAGGCAGGCACCAAGCTCCTGTGGTCTCCTGCTCTTCCTTCCCTCTCTGCTGGGACACTTGGTAACACTGACCTCATAAAAAGGTGTGGGCACCAGGTGACTCAGCATTACCAAGTGCTCTGAAGCAGCCAGAAGTCCACTTTGAGCCCTGAGCATCTGGCTCAGTGGGCCCCTGGCTGCCTCAGGGAGTGGGCAGCAGAGGTGAGGTTTGCCGCAGTGCGCTCCAGAGCCCGGCTGCAGCTCACTGCAGCTTCTCCTCCCTCCTCCTCCCTACTCTCCCACCAGATCTCCAGCTCCTTCCTGACTGTACCTGAGGGTGGTGGACACAAGCCCCTCCACAGCTCTGACCTCCTCGGCAAGGTGCTCTGGCCCCTGTTCTTTTCCAAACTGCTGCACATCTCACCTCCCAAGCTGCCATTTGGAACTATTTCCTCTCTTCATCTCTGCAGTCCCTCTCCTCATTGCCTGCCCCCCTGCCCCCACCCAGGGGTCCAGGGGCTCTGCTGCCTATGTGACTCGGTTCTATCCACTTCCTCTCTGCAGAATCCTGCTCTTTTGTCATTCCTTCAAACTTCATCCCTAAAGTTTGTGCTCTGCCTCCCTGCAGTCTCCTTAATCCTTCATTCCTTCATGCCGACTGCTCCCTTCCATCACGCCCCTTTGCTCTGGACACTTGAGTAGACTAACCTCCGCACTTGCATTAGCTTAGCTGTTCCAACCACTCCCTACCCACTAATTCCTGAACCTGCATTTCTCACCCACTATGCTCCCTCTGCCTGGAATGTCCTCCTCTGTCTATTCTTCCTTCTGACTCCGCCTCATCCTTCTAGGCACAGCACAGAGGTCACCCCAGCCTAAGGCTTCCCCTAGCACCTCCAAGATAGATTAAATCTAATAGGACTTTGTTTCCCTTTACTAAATTATGGGTTTTTTGCTTATGTCATGATAACCGTTACTACTTATGTGCCAGGCACCTCTCAGAGAAATTTAGATAGACTAACTTGTTTAATCCTCAAAATCACCCTGTTATTATCCACAAGTTAACCTGCCCAAGTTTACAGCAAGTCAATGTAGGAACTGACCCTTTAACCCACACAGCGTGGCTCTAAATGACATGCCTAGCCACCTCTCCACCTAGCACGCTTCACCTGTACACCAGGAAGCCTTTGACTTCAAGAGCTACACTCTTTCTGTTCTCCTGCTCACATCAGTGGAGCACAGCAGATGATTACTAAATGTGTTCTGAATTTAAGTGAAATTTGTTTTGCATGCATTCCCATGTCTTCCTCACATGTGTGGTCTGTCTCCTCAAGCCATCCTTGAGATCCTCAAGGAGAAAGGACCAGATAGTGTTTTCTTCATAGGCCCAATGCATATTGAGCTGGGGGATAGGCAGAGAGAGCTCTAGGGGTGCAGTTGAGGGCAAAGTAACTTCAGGCTATAATAATAAATGTCTTAAGTGTGTACAAGTTACACACATGACTGCTTTCAGAGGTCCTAGCATCGACAGGTGAGGGAGGTGGAATGGACGTGGAGGAGGTGAGGAGACTGTGATTGCCTGAGAACTGGCAAGCTCTAAGCGCTAGAAATATCTTACAGAGATTGCAGCCCAGGACTCTGAATGAAGCCCCGGAAAGGCGGTCTCCGGCTCGCGCATCTGGTCCTGGGTAGCTGTGGCCGTCAGGACTGGGCGGGGCGAGCTGGGTGGGTCAGCTCCTCCCCCGGCGAGGGCGGCCTCGGCCGCTGGAGCAGGTGTGGGAGGTGGGCAGTTGGCCGGAGGGCAGCCCTGAGAGCGCCCTGGAGGAGAGGCTGGCTGCGCAGCAGCGAGGCAGGAGGCATTAAGGCGGGTGCGGCAGGGCCTCTGGAGGCCTTCGGGGAGTTTGCTCGCTCTCACCAGACAGGGCAGAACACAGCACCCTGAGAGGTGACATGATTTCCAAGTGTCAGGAAAAACTGGTTTGTCTTCACATGAGTTAGCGATAGTGTTTCTATACAATTTGTAAGGATCCCGTTGCATTTCTAAAACTCTATACCTTAATTGTAAAAGTCCTCACTCAATTTCAGATCGAATTTACCCATGTCACGTGCAGGACGGAAGAGTTTTCAGGCTCAGATGGCCTCTGCGGAAGGGAAGCCTTTCCCATAGCATGAAGCGCAGTGAACTTCTCGCCCAAAGACCCACCCTGTTCTTACCAACTACGCCGTCTTCCAGTCTCTTCGCCCCACTCCCCCAGCCTTGATCTCCTCTTGCGTAAAATGCCCACCCACCTACCCAGTCCCACAGAACTGTGGCAATGATCTGCGCCAAGGCCAAGACCTCGCAGCCAAGGTTCTCTGCTGATCGGAACGGTCTGCCGGAAACAAGAGACCCTGTGTCACGCTTCCCGCTGTTCAGGAAATGAATGAGACACTGCAGATGGGCGTGCTGGAGTGTAGGGAGCGCCACCTCCCCCTGGGAACCTCCGGCCCCGGCGGCTTTTACGCGAAGGCTCGCAGACAGCCAAGCCCCAGCCGTGCCTTTCCAGAGGGCGAGGTACGCTGTAACCCCGGCGCTATGGATCCGCAACGCGCGTTTCCTGGCGGGGCGCCGCCTTTCCCCGCGAGAGCCCCTGGAGCCCAGCCCATCGCCCGGCTCGGGAGCCGCCCCGCTTACCTGGGGCTCCAGCAGCCAGCGGGGCGCGGCGCCTTCGGCCGCGGGGCGCACGCCGCGGAGCGCCGAGTACACGGGGATGCGGTCCCGGGTGCTGTACAGGGTGGCGAAGCGCTCGGCGCCCTCGGAGCGCTGGCAGATCTTCACGTGGGCTCCGGCCGCCAGCCCCGCGGGCGGACGCTCGGCGTAGAAGAACCGGTCACACTCGCCGAAGCCGGCTTCCTGCTCGCGCACCAGGCGGCCTTCCGGCAGCCCGGCCAGGGCGAAGAGGCCGCCGAGCGCCAGCCAGCGCGCGGGGCCCATGGCGGCGGGGCCCGGCGGAGAGCGCGAGGCAGCCGGGCCGGGGGCAGGCGAGTCGGAAGCCAGGCCGGCGCGCGCGGCGAGAGCTCGGCGAAGCCCGGCGGGGCGGCCCGGGCGCGGGGGCGGGTCCGCGTCCCGAGGCCGCGCCTCCCGCCCGCGCGCCCTGCAGATGGCTGCGGAGGCCCGGCGCCAGCCGGCGGCTGAGGGCCGCGTCCCTGACATGCACCGGCGCGCGGGCCCACGGGCCCCTCGCCGCCGCGTCGCCTCTTTGCGGTCCCCGGGGAAGGGCCTGCAGTGTCGGCCTGATCCGAGGGGTGGGGCCCAGCAGCCGTCCTAGCCAGCGCGCGCCGGGGCCTCGGGGACGCAGAGGGCTGGCGTGAGATGCTCACGAAACCGTGGCTCTTTGGAACTAATTGGCAGGAACCACCCCGCTTTGAAATCCGGTGACTCCTAGCTTCCTCTCCTCAACCAAAGGCTCAAACCGCCCGCACCCGTATACAATTTTGATGTTTTAGCAGATTGGAAGCCCCGAGACTAAAGCATAATCCTATTAGAGCAATGTCCTAACCTAGGCAGGCGGTACAGACGTGTTGCGATTCGCTTGGTGGAGGGCTTATAAACAAAACCACTACCAAGAAAGGAACAACAGCCAACATCTTTGGCCGATAGGCAGGTTGACTCCTTCATTCATTCGTCCCGCTGAGGGCCTTTGCGCCAGCCTGGTTCAGGCAGCTGGGTACAGTGCTTAACCAAAGCAGGGTCCCTGCGGCAGGAAGAGGCAGCCTAGTAGGAACGCTTGTCATTCATCAAAGAAGCGTGTTATTAAAGGAATAATTAAAACCCATAAATGGATCTGAGAACCTGACCCCTCTGGGGATTCAGGGGATGGTCTGGGATTTTCCTGAAGAAGTGGTGTGGGAGCTGAGACCTATAGGAAGAGAACACAGCATGTGCTGAGGGTCTCCCAGAAGAAACATGCCCTGCAGTGTTGGAGGAATACCAGGAAGGCTGGGGTGGGTGGCGAGCAGACAGCTGCGAGGAGATTATGAGAAATGGGATAAAGAAGGAGGCAGAGGTGTACCATTTAGGGAAGGACAGGCCAGAGGCCTTCAAACATTTTTTGACAGAACCCACAATGAGAAAACAAGCTGCATGAAATAATACACATACAGTTGGCACTGCAATCCATGTTTCTGTTCTGTTTTATTCCATTGAAAAAAAAACTGGTGGTGACCCACAAAATTGTTTCTATGACCCACTAATGTCTAATGACCTGTAGTTTGGAAAGAAATATTATAAGTCATGTTGAGGATTTTGATCTTTCAGTGGTGGTGACACAATCCCATTGGCTCCCTGGACAGAGACACGTGGATTGGAGTGATCCTGAATGACTGAAGAAAAATATGTGCAAAAATCCAGATGAGAAATTGTGGCTCAGACTAGGGTGGTGGTGGTAGAGAGAGAGCCAGAGCATCGACTAGGGGTGCCTTTATTTACATACTATTATTTGAGCTTATTTCCCCACTGTGCCACATGGGGGGTTGAGCGCCAGACCGTTCTATACTTGCCTAAGATGGCAACACCAGCGAGTCCGGAGCCAGATGTGAACCAGGTCTGTGTGGTTCTCCGGACTGGTCTTTCCTCTGAGCCACAGCAGATCTGTAAGGTGAACCTATAAGGTAGGAGACAGATGGTCTGGAGAACACATTTTGGATCTTAAGAACAAATTCCTTACAGGCTTCAATACCTGGCAATGCTGACCAGGTTTGGTTCCTAAAATGAAACCTAAATTTGTATTCTGATTAAAAGAAAGAGAAAATAGACTGACATACTGTGATGTCACAGAAGAGGCTAGACTTGGAGTCCTCTTTGATCTGGGATTGTGATTTCGTCCTGCAGTCCTGTAATGTTCTCTCATGGGAAGCCATGAGGACTATAGGTTTTATAGGATTTCATATATTTATATCATTATATAGGATTATATATGTTCCCTAATGTCAGTTCATGTTGTCACAACTAGAAATCGATCAATCCCTCCTCCCCCTGTTCTTTGTACGTGTTTCTATTATGGCAGTTATCATGTTAGGGTATTAATAACTCCTGTGTCTGTCTTCTCCATTAGATCAGATCCTTCTGGGGACAAAGGTGGTATCTTCTTAGTCTGTGGATCCCTATGGCTACCAGAGAGTCTGGAGTAATAGATGTCAAATATGATGATTTTGTTATATTTTAAACAAATGCAGAAAATACAAAAAAATAAAATTTCAGTCTTTATGACTAAAGCATTTGTATGACTTTAATCCACTGCTTCCCAAATTTGTTTGATCTCTGCCCCTCCCCTTGATAAGCATAAATATCTCTGCCACCACTTCCTCACCCCTGTGACAGATTCTTTCCCCCCACCCCTTTCTTCCAGACCCACAAAAACATATTTGCATATCCCACAGCCAGAATGGTTTTTGTCTACTTTATTTCCTTTACTTCATTTTGTTTGCTTGCCTCCCAAAGATAAAATTATATTATAATATTGAACTTACTTTTGCAAATTACAAATGTCTTCATTCCATGATTCTGGAGCAAACTACGGGTGGGAGTGGCCTGATCTAATTAAAGTTTTTGCTGCCTGCTGCTTCTAGGGGAAGACTGTCCTTAACTGCATCTTTATGTGTGATACACAGCACATATCCATCGTTCACCACTGTTTCTCTATTTGATGATTTCTAGTCCCTTTCCTTCTCCACTCACTCTCTTCTCACAGGGGAAGAGGTTTCAGACCAGATCTTTTTAGGCCTCTGCACTCACATCCATTGCCAATCTAACATCTGTCAGAAGCCTTCAGGGACGGCCTGAAGACGAAAAGCTATGGGTGATGTGGAATAAAATGACTCTACCTGCCCTTCTGCAGTTTGATTGGTTCTGTCCATGTTGTTTGAAAACATGAGCCAAACTAGACACTCCTCCCATGACCTGGCCCCCCTCGTGCTGTGATGACAGCTGCATCCCCCCCAGCACCACCTCGAATCAAGCCATCCTCAGCCCTCATACCCAGTTTTTCTCCCTTCATTCCCTCCAATCCACTCTCCAGAGGGGGTGACTTCCTTAAATAACTCGAGTCCTTCCTTAAACTACACTCAAGTCCTTCAGTTGCTCTCCACTTGCCCTAGAATAAGGCCCAGTTCTCTGTCCAATCCCTGTGACTGCTGAGATACGGCTCAATCTTTTTTGGCTTCATTTCTTTCCTCTCCCACCAGGCCCTCTTTGCTCTAAGTGCTATTCAAATTCTTGCAATGGCTTGAGTGAAATATTCTCTTGTCCCTGAGCCTTTGCGTCATAAACTACTTCCTTTGGCCTGGAACTCTCACCACATTCCCATCCCTTCACCCCTTTCATTTAGCCTTTCTTTTTTTTTCATGATCTGGCTGAACATTAGTTCTCAAGTCACCCTCCTTCCTGACAAATACGTCCTCATCACTCACCCCACCTCCTTCCCTGTATGAGGTTAAGGGCCCCATTTACTTATGCCTATTAAGACCAGCATTTCCCCTGTATTGTTGCCTTAGATGTAAATATAGTGCTGTTTCAGGGTAATTATTCAGTACAGTGAGTGAGTAAATGAATTGGATGAAAGAAAAAATCCTTCCGTGAAACTTGATTTGCACTCTTATTGCTATAATTCATACATTTATTTTCAAAATGTTTTCAAAGCATCTACCATAAGCCAGCCCTTGTGCTGGATGCTGGGTATTCAGGAAGAGCAAAGTTAGACCTGGTTCCAGCTCTGCTGGAACTCACACTAGCCCCTCACAGTGCCATGTGGGAACTCAGAAGAGAAGGAAGAAGGTAACTGATTCTCTGCAAGCTGCTCTGTCTTAGACCAGGGATGGGCCAGAATGTCAGTTCCCATTACAGTGACTCCATGCCATGTCCAGCTTTAGGATCCACCTTGACCTTTGCATCACAGAACTTGAAGTAAGAAGGGAAGACAGAGCAATAAGCAATTACAATTCAGTATGGGAAGCGCTCTTTGAGGGAAGTACTTTGTGTTGTGAGGGCAGAGAAGGGTCACCTAGGTTAATCTGGGGAGGAGAAGCTCTGGAAAGACAGTGGGAACAATGGAAAATCATACTGAATGATGAGACAGGTTGAGACAATGGGTCATAAACTAGAATAATAATTCATTTCTAGGTCTCAGAAACTACTTCTTTGGCTCTCCTCTTTATAAATTGTTTAACATTTATAAAAATTGACAAATAAAGAGGAAATTAACCCCATGTGGATTGCTAGGATGGTGAGGAGGTTAGAATATCTTCTATTTGGGTTAGAATGCCAGATTTATTTTCCTAATAAGAACTATATCTAAGGAAGCATGTTTAGCTCAACCCTCTAGTGAAAGGCAGAAGGCCTCTTAGTCAAAGGGTTATTGTCAAGCCAGCAGGAGGCTGAGTCACGCTTACTTGAAATTGTGCACAGAGTTGTCTTCTTTCTAGAGAAGCTAAACTTTGGATGATGTCTGAAGAACTATTAGACAACTTCAGTTCCCCCAGAAGAAGCACACACGTTTACACATACACGCCTCTCCCTGTTAGCCTGCCCTGAAAAAGACACCTGACCCATAGAACTTCTGAGCATTTCTAGGTTGCTCAACTATTCAATTTTAAAATTTTTTCCAGATTTTAGAGGATTATGTCAGGCAGGAATAACTTTGAATCCCTTTATATAGAAAATAATGTAAGTGTATGTCCTGATACACTCAAATAAAAAATAAATTAATAAAAATAAATTTTTCTGAAGTTTTTTTTCTTTTTTTTCACTTTCCATAGCTGTAGGGAGAAGGGTACATGGTCACGAACCTAAATTCTGGCATTAGACTGCCTGGGTTCAAATGCTGGCTCTTCTTACTGGTCATGTGATCTTGGGCAAATTGTTGAACCTCACTATCCCTCAATTTTCTCATCTATAAAATGATGATGATAGATCCTACCTCCTAGTGTGGTTTTAAGCATTAAATGCATTACTATATCATGTTTCATTGATTCTATGACATGCATTTTCCACATTTTAACATCTCTGAAATCGAAGTGTATTTCACAATTGATAGTGTAGCATTAT